CCATTTCTTTCTGGCTTTTATTTCCGAAATGGAATTAGAAGTGAGACATAATAAGTTAATAATTTCCCCTTGTCTGGAAGTGGGTCTGCCATCATTACCTCATGCTCTCTAGGGGGTGCGAGTTCCCGTGTTCACTTGAGCATTATTGAATATCAGGGGTATGAGAATTAATGTCCCAGATGCATCTGGGCCATATTGCATTAGTCCTGTGGTCAATTAGAAAGGATGGGCTGGGTGGCAACACGGGACTAATAGGGACTATGAGAGCTGGGGCGTGGTCCAGAGACAGCAAGAGGAAGCAGCTTCACTCTGGGGGCCAACGCCTCTCTCTGGCCTCTCGTAGACTTGACTTCCTGTTCAGTTTTATGAAGCTATCTGTCCCTATAGTCCTGCCCCCTGACTCTAGGACTCCATCCAAGGTTTTGAGCCTGAGCATTTACTTCACAGGAAGTTTGAATCTGAGTTCTGTGTTAAAAAATTATACAGGCTGTATCATTATTTGAAAATGTACTTAAATTAATATTAATAATTAACTCATATGTTTGATTGACTTTATTGGTCAGAGGTTAAATTTTGCCAAGCAGTGGCTTAACCAGGTAATATTAACTTGGAGACCATTTTTTTCTCTTTCCTCCTTGTTGATTTCTCGTATGACTCTAATATCGTGCGTAAATCTTGAATCCTTCTGTGTCGGCCATTGTCCGTACTCCTCTGGGCATAGGAATACATCTTCTAAAAACCAGTCATTTCTCTCGATATTATTCCCCAACTAGTATGATGACTGTTAAAAAATTATTTAATCTAATAATCAGGTAATATGCTTGATATTTGCTCTAGAGTTCAGATAGCAAAATTTACAGACCCATAGCTTAACAGAAGTTTAGGAGTAACCATTTTAAAATCTTTTCTCCTTTGCCAAGATGCTGGTTTGCTGGGACTGTCTATGCTCATGACCACAGTGGGCAAGGCACTGACCCCTTCTCTTTAGTCACAGAGCCAGAGCAGGACTGGCTGTTGAGAAGTGAAAGAGATATTGAAGTGATATCCAGGAAATACATAACATGTCTGGAGAAAATGAAAAGGATTCTAGAACAGAATCACCTCCACAATATGCTAAAGTCACTACATTTGCATAGAAGAAAAGGCCTTGAAAAAGTGATTTTTAACGGCTTTATAGAGTTCTAGCAGGTATACCTTTATACTTAAGTGAAGATATACAGACATATATAAAGAGCACAGTTTATATAACAAAGCTCCTCTCTGACACTAGGCTCAAAATTTGCTCCCCTCCTCCCTCCATTCTTATGTTGAACCTCAATTTCCTCCTTACCGATCTCCTTCTAGGAGATTAAAATCTTGGATTAGTACAAAGCTCTTTATGTCACCCCCAGTGAGTACACCTAATTCTGGAAACTGCATACCTGATGGTTAGTCCTATCCACCGTATTGGCCGTGGAGGGGTGATCTCTAGTGTTCTGGCGAATTCGAGTGGAGTTTTGTTGCTCGATGGTGGAGGAAGTTGGGATACAGAACTCTCTGAAGCATCGTTTGAAGTTTTCATCCAGAAACGCATAAAGAACCGGGTTGAGGCAGCTGTTTGTGTAACCTAGAGCGATGCAGAAGTGCCAAGAAACGGTCTGGAACGTCGTTTCTGGGATGGTAACCAAGGCTTTGATGATGACGTAGATGTGGATGGGGGTCCAGCAGACGATGAACACAGCCACAACCACCAGCACCATCCTGGTGATCCTGCGCAGGTTCCTGTCCTTTTCTTTGGAGCCAGAGAGCATGCGCACACTCTTGAGGCGTAAGATCATCAGTCCATAACACACGGTAATGATGAGGACAGGCATGACGAAGGCGAAGATGAAAACACAGATCTTCAGCAGGTTTTCCCAGTACCAGGTTGGGTGAGAGAATGTTAGCGTACAATCTATGGAACCTAGAAGAAAAGAATTTAAAGGGAAAAATAGCAACATTTAATTATATCATCAGGTATTGATATTGTCATCTTGCTTACTAATTTATAGCCTTGACCAGAGCCAACTTAAGCTACTGTAATATGATGCAAGCCAATAAGAAAAGATTTAAAGAAATTATGGAAGAAACCCAGCTCTCTGTTAATTTTCAAAGCAAGTTACTTTTAATTTTTTTCCCCTAAATTTCCCATTTTTCTGTCCACTTTGATCATATTAAATTTTCATTCAGTGAACAGTTATGGACCTCTCACCATGAGCTAGACCTTCTATGACAGAATCTATGTTTATATACAAAATATATTCACACCTAATGGGTGTGGTGCCCACGATCTGGGATGGGCTCGAGTGTAGCTCCAACTTGGGCAGTGCAAATGTCATAGATGTAACCTAAATGTTTATCTCCCTGTAAAAATCTTGAAATAAAAAAATTAAAAAAAAAACACAGCGAAATATAATATTTTCTGAAGTTTCTAGGAGGCTGCAGATAATGGATGTTTTCACTCCATTTTTTGTGGGTAATTAATTGTTCTGCTATTAGATGTAGAAAGATAAATTTGTCACATAGGAAGCCACTTGAAATTTTAAAGCAAGCCTCGACATAATACTCTTTGGTTTTAAGCTCTTATTAATCTTGGGAGAGGTATGTTCTTATTTGCCCACAATTTTGATAAAGTACGGAGAAATCAAGAACAGATTGTATTGTCTTTAAAATGTTTAGTGGGCCTAACATTATTAAAAGATGTTCTATTTAAAAATATTCAGACATTTTTCTAAATTTGGCTAAAACACTGGACCACTCCATCAATTCCACTGGGCTCATGACATCACCAATTAATCGGGCTATCCACCCTCCATCCCTCAGGCCTGCAACATTACTCACCATGCCTGTATTTGGTTGTTGCCATGAACATTACAGGAAGACCAATGGCTGAAGAGAGGATCCAGTTGCAGACATTGACAATTTTGGCATTTCGGGGGGTGCGGAAATCCAAGGCCTTGACAGGGTGGCAGACTGCAATGTAGCGATCGACACTCATGGTGCAGAGTGTGAATATGCTGGTGAACATGTTATAGTAATCTATGGAGATCACGATCTTGCACAAGATGGTTCCGAATGGCCACGTTCCCATTAGGTAATTGACACTCTGGAAGGGGAGGGTACTGGTGGCTAAGGCATCTGCCAGAGCAAGGTTGAAAATATAGATGTTGGTGGCTGTCTTCATTTTGGTGTATCTAGGAGATGAAGGAAGAATAGTGACAGAGTCAGCAAGCACACCAATGTGAAATATGAGTAAGCTTCCAGTAATAAATTTGCATGAATTAATGGAAAGCATTTGGGATTAGGCATAGAACTCCATAGAACTCCAGTACTAGCTTGGCTATTTACAACCATGTGCCTAATAACAAAATATATAATGTATCAGTTTTCTTCTCTGTAAAATAGTTATAATGATAGCATCAACCATGCTGAGTTATTGAGCTTTTAGTCATTGTTCTTGTTTTTAATGTGCTGGTCACTGTAACAGGCATAATAGACACAGGGAGATCCTAGTCAAGTAGTAGAGGCAGACTAGATAATAATCCCACATATATAAAACATTTATATACAGATAGATATGGTTAAAACTATTGAAGCCTATAATAGTGTGTGTATACATATATATGTGCATATATATATAAATAATTTTTGTTAGATACACCTTTGATTATAGACCTGCATGATCTAAAGGCATATTTGACTGCATGTGCATATATATGTACAAACACATGCACATACAAACACACAAGATATTATGGAGACATAGAGATGAGGCATCTCATAGAACATAAGGCAAAGGAAATAGGAGGCGTAAGATATGGACGACATCCTAGAAGTGCAGATGCCCAAGTTTAATCTTAAAGTATAAGTAAGAGGATGAGTTAGACAGTTGATAAGAGCAGGTCATTCTAGGCAGAGAAAGAGGAGAGAGAACCCCAACAAAGGCACAGAGTTGAAATGACATGATATATTTGCCTGGCACATTCTACCAGGGAATGGCAATGGATCAGAGAGGGGAGCAAGACAGAGGCTATTAAACAGGAGGACTTGCCTGCCATGGTAGGAAGATTAGGCTTTATTCAATCCATGATGGGAAGCCTAAGTTTCTTTTCTTTTTAATAGCTTGAGGTATAATTGACACCTAATTAACAAATTGATACGTCTTGACATATATATACACCTGTGAAACCATCACCACAATCAAGCTCAGGGCCTATAGAACCAACTGAGTCACTGCCTGTTTTTGTAAATAGTTTTATTAGAACACAAGCAGGTATCTTATTTATAGATGTTTTGATGCTACAAGGGTAGAGTTGAGTGGTTGCAACATAGATCAGACGGCTTTCAAAGCCTAAGGTATTTTCTATCTTTCCCTTTACAGAAAAAAGTGCCAACACCTGATTAAGATAATGAACGTATCAAACACCTTCAAAAGTTTCCTGTGCAGCTCTTTAATTTTGCCCCTCCCTGTCTCACCACCTACCCCCCGCCCCCACCCCAGTATTCTTTAGGCAATCACTGATCTTGTTTTGCTTTCTGTCCTTATAGATTAGTTTGGCATTTTCTAGAGTTTTATGCAAATAGAATCCTTCAGCATGTACTCTATTTTGTCTGTCTTCTTTCACACAGTGTAATTATTTTGAGATTCATTAATGTTGTTGTATGTATCAAGAATTTGTTCCTTTTTATTTGCAAGTAGTATTTCACTGTATGGCTATGCCATAATTTGTTTATCCATTCATTTGTTAATGGGGATTGAGTTGAATACAGCTTTTGGTTACTACAAATTAACTGTTACAAACATTCATGTACAAGTCTTTATAGGGTCATATGCTTTTCTTTTTCCTGGGTAACTATCTAGTAATGTTACATACTTCAAAGCTTGCAGAAATTATAACTGCCAAATAGAAGAGATGGGCAGGTGCACTTTCAATAATAAATTCTATCATATGGGGAAAGTACATCTTGCACATACCGGACATCTATTGTTTTTAACATTCCATATATATTTACCATAATTTAGAAGTAGAACCTCAGTTTTACTCTGGGGAAGCCACTCATTTCCCATTTTCAGTCCACATGCTTTGCAATGGGCTCTGTTAGTAGTTCAGGCCCTGAAGCTGCCTTTGGGGCCACACTGAATGGTCAAGATGGTCTTATGTCTAAACCAGAGACGATGAGTTTTCCGACAGGACTCAAACCTGAGAGGATTTGTGGTATGTAGTTGCTGGAAAGCCTGTCTGAAAATGGGCCCAACCCAGAATATGTGGACTTGAGAGAGTGAGAGAGAATCTCATACCTAAAGCTAGTCTTCCTTAGACTTTTTATTTACACAGTGCAGTAAATTCTTTTTAAACTTTAGCTTTCGTTTACTATTTTTCAGACACGTGAGGTTAAGAGTCTAACTCCTTCAGCCCAAGACGGCTATTGGTTGGAGAAGATAGTATCACAAAAGCATTTGCTTGGAGCCTTAATTCAGTGTTCTAAGAAAGTGATTTGATTTTGGTAAGGGCAGGATTTCAAAAATCTCGGGGCCAATGCTTTGGAATTATTTCTTGAACTTTAAAAATTCTGATACCTGACCTGGTCTGCAGTATTTTCAGAAATTGCATTGCTGCCAAAAAATGCTCCCCAATTTCAGATTTGAAGGCTTTTTTTTTTACTTGCTTTAGAAGTTTTATTTCCTTAAAGGATTTTAAAGGAAAAGGTAGAGAAAACCATTTAACTTGAAGAACTATACCAACTTGATTTTAAGGAAGACTCTAAATATGACAAATATAAAAAGATAACCTAAATAATATAGTCCAAAGTACATAAACAAACAAATAAAATCCAAACTCAAACTGGTATTTTAAGCTTTTAAAATAACTGACCTTGATGCTCAAGAAGTTTAAAATTTTTTTATATTGTTTATAAGCAGAAGTTTCTCCCCCAAAGCAGAACAATAACTTTTGCTAGATACACTGTTGATTGTAGGCCTGTGTGATCTAAAGGCATACTTGACTGCATTAGTCACTTTCCTACCCAGCACACCTTACGTTGTGAGTCTTATCTTTAATAGAATGTTTTATGTTAAATAATTGGGTTTTTTGCAGTCAGTTTTCTGACTCATCATACTTCTAACCTTTTTGCAGGCTTATCTTAGCATTGGGTATTTATAATATATGTTTATTTCAGTTAAAAAAATCATTTCAGTTAAAAAAATTCATTCCTCCCAGAATGAGGTGTTTATGAAACAATATTAGATTAGGGTCCTACATTATAAAAGGAAAAGTGTGGGCCAGGCACCGTGGTTCACGCCTGTAATCCTAGCACTTTGGGAGGCCTAGGCAAAAGGATCCCTTGAGCCCAGGGATTTGAGACCAGACTAAGCAACATAGCAAGACCCGGTCTCTGCAAAAAATAAAAAGGAAAAATTAGCTAGGTGTGGTACTACACACCTGTAGTCCCGGCTGCTCAAGGGGCTGAGGGAGGAGGATCACTTGAGCTCAGAATTTGGAAGTTATAGTGAGCTGTGATCAGGCCACCACACTCTAAAAGAGATATGTAATTTAGCCTGGGTGACAGAGCTAGACCCTGTCTCAAAAAAAAAATCCTCACAAAAGAAAGTAAAAGCGTTACAAAGTATATGTTAATTAGTTTGTTAGCCATTCCACAATGTATATGTTTCAAAACATCATGTTGTATGTGATAAATATAAACAATTTTATGTTAATTAAAAAAATAAAATTAAAATAGTAGAAAGAAAAGTGAATATTTATAAAAACGATTTTAATGGGCATTTTACAGGAACAATGCCGTTGAATTTTTTTTCAACTTATCTAAAGAGCCTTTCTCTAAAGACAGCTAGTATTTTTATCCTGATTACTCATGCTTTGAATCACAGCAACACATAAAAGGGGGTTCAGAAATTTCCTAAATATGTGAAAGAGAATTATATAAGACTAAAGGTTTGGGAATTCCTACTGCCTATAGCATATTCCCAAAGGCTTGAATCTGAAGAGAAGGTCTGACCAGGAAAGGGGTCATGTAAACCAGCAAATACAAGCTTTTCATTCTGTTCTGTTCCAGCATGGTGGCAGGAATGTTGCCCCAACAAAGTTAGATAAATGATCAGAGTCACACTGCAGGCTGTACATGGAGGCATAGAAACCAGAGTTAGCAAACAAGCCAAAGAAGTGACTTGAAGTAAGAATTATCTTTGCTGTTTAGTTTACATGAGTGGGCCTGAGTAGAATTCCTGCTTATTAAAAACACAATTTTTCTATCCTTTATGCCTATTGCTGCTGCTGCTTCTTCTTCTTCTTCTTTTTTTTTTGAGACAGTGTCTCACTCTGTCACCCTGGCTAGACTGAAGTGTTGTCATCATAGCTCACTGTAACCTCAAACTTTTGGGCTCAAGTGATCCTCTTCCCTCAGCCTCCCAAGTAGCTGGGACTACAGGCACCACTCCACCTGGCAGATTTTTTAATTTTTTGTAGAGACAGGATCTCTGTATGTTGCCTAGGCTGGTCTCCAACTCCTGGCCTTAAGCTATCCTTTCACCTCAGCCTCCCAAAGTGCTGGGATTACAGGTGTGAGCCACCACGCCTGGCACCCATTGCTTCTTACTGTGCCATAAATGTGTTTCGTGGCAAAGTGGGCAAAGTGAAATGGGTGGGATGTGTGAAGTCCGTAGAGAGTCTCACCCAGACTCATAGGGCCTTCCTGACATTGACCATTCCAACTGTACTCACTTAAATGTGTCTTTTCCTCTAAGCAGTGGCCCACACTATTTTTTTTCTTTCTAATTATTCCATTGACATTTTTGTGGAAGGTATTTCTTTAAATTTGTTCTAGGTAATGAGTAGCCTTTTGGTTTTATGAATCTAAATGAATTACCATGCAATTCATCTTTTAAAAAAACAATTATGTTCTTCTCAGAACCTTCAATGCTTGGCCCATTAAAATGATTTTATGCAGCTTCCAAACCTGTGTTAGGGAGTTGATGTTACGAAGGCCATTTCGTTGGCAGCTCAACTATTCTCCTGAGTTGCATTTATGCTATTTGTTTATAAATGTCCTTCATATTTTTATGGTTATTAAAATCATTCCTATTCATCTTCAGACCCCCTTTTCACCCTACTATTTCTCCTACTATTACTGCTCACCAAAACTTCATTGATGTTGACTAACTTGTACTAAATGAAGCCAC